TTCTGTTCTGTTCTGTTCTGTCATAGTTTATTTACTGAGCTGTTTTCTGTGTATTAGAAGAAACTTATAAAAACGAGTTTCATTCGGTTCTCACTCATTTCTTGAAACTTGGAATCAATCAAGCAGTGGTTTAAAACGCAACCTCATATACCAGATATACCTAGTAATTATTAAAATATACTAAAATTTGTATTGTGTATATATAATTTACTTTAAGGTGATAAACTAATAGTTTTCTATTTATTAATGAATAAATTTTCCATTGAGAAGACCAAATCCAGATTAGAAATGAACTATTCCATTCGAAATGTAATGCCAGAGTTTTACAACTATACTCCAATGCATCCTTTTAGGTGCCGCTAAAAGTTTAGATGAAACTTCAGGTTAATATATTTAAAATACATTTTCTACAAATTTTATATTCAGTAATAAAGAATTAGTTAAATTTTCAGCTGATTATCAAAGATTTCTGGAAAGCCATGATGAATATTTATCGAAATGGATGCAAATGCACGTAGATGATAAATTAAGACCACAACCGCTAATTAATGATGAAATTCGTGGTTTTTATGGCAATTTAAAAAAACTCGATGTTGATTAAAAAGTTGTAGTTATATAATATCTATCACTATCATTAGAAATATAATTAGTTGCATATATGTGATTTAATAAAAGTATTATCTATTTGGTATCTATAATTTTAACAAATCTATATTAAGATATAAATTTTACGCCTGCTAAATGTTGCTTGAGACGAATCTGTCACTCATGGATAACGCTTGTTTATGGATAACGCCTCTGCACATTTCCAACCCTAAAGATGATTTTAAATTCTTCTTTAGATTATTCTATTTTTAACTCATTGATGGAGAACGCAATGCACCACCTTTTGAACATGCCCAATGTGGTATTATTGTAATTTTCTAGAAAATATACAGCAAAGAGGAATTGCCATTTTTTGGTCGGTATATCAAGGGATGGATTATCTCATGTAGATCGAGATGACAAAGGTGTTGAGTCTAGAAATTTAGGACTTTCTGGCCCCTCAAAGAGTTAAGAAGCTCTACTTTTGAGCGTTCTTTTGAGATTGGTGACTAAAGACACCAATCTAACTCTCAGAGAGTTTTGGAAATATCACGTCCACATTGATACCTGCCTCAAATGACCGAAAAGGCGTTAGACAGGGTTAACAAGAGAACCATCACTTCTGCTTGGAAAGAGCTTGGGAAATCGTTGTCGACTGTGACTTGGAATGGTTGGAGACAGTACCTGTGTAGCCTGTAGTCAACGAGGTTGTGTCTTTGCATAAGATTATAGGCAGGAGGTGGATAAAAAATAATATCAATGATCTTGCTAAAGAGCTGACCACAGAAGAATTTAAGGAGTTTCATTGTGTTTCACAGAAAGATGTTATGCAGGAGAATTTGTCAGAAGAGCAAATAAAAAAAGCTGTTGCATTTCACCAAATTTTGGTGATTATTTGTAGTTATTACTAGAAAGCTTTCTAGAATCATTTAAATAACGAATACACCGATTTATACCCAATATAATCAGGAGTGCCGCGGGGAAGTGTTTTAGGACCACTATACCTTCTATACACGGCAGATATTCTTAAAACTAATAATATAATACGACTGCAACATTCGCTGATGATATAGCAATCTTGGCATCAGATAAGAACCCAGCAGTAGCATGCGAATATCTACAGGGAAATTTAGAAAGGCTACAAGAATGACTTAAAAAATGGAGAATAGCAGTTAACGAAATAAAATCCGTGCATATCACATTCACGCTAAAGAAAGACACCTGCCCAACTGTAAGACTTAATGGACAAGAACTGCCCAAAGCAACAAAAGTCAAATATCTAGACAGAAGACTCACCTGGAAAGATCACATTCAGGCTAAGAGCCAGCAATTAGAAATAAAGTTTAGAAATGGTCGGAATTATCAGTGGAATATTAATTACTTATATACAAAGTAATACTGTAACCACTATGGACGTATGGTATCCAATTGTGGGGTGCGGCCAGTAAATCGAACATACAAATTATACAAAGATTCGAATCAAAATGCCTAAGAAATTTTATTAGGGCTCCATGGTTCGTCAGGAATAAACAAATACACAAAGACCTTCATATAGATATGGTCGAGGATACAATAGAAACATTTGGTAGTAGATACCAAGATAGACTGGATTTACATACTAATGTTCTGCCTATTGACTTATTCGACAATAGTGAGACCACAAACAGGGTGAAGCGTTGCAAATTACTAGATTTAGTATATAGATTTAAGTAATTATTAATGTTCAAATCATCATAATCCACCGGGAAAGATTATCCATCTATTGTCAACTACGATCTTAAATTTACTCAATGTTCACATTGATGAACATATTGTGAATAAATTTATACGACATAAAAAAAATATAATTTTCTTTTAATAAACGTTATACATAATTGAAAAAATGTTTCGCTTAAGAAGTTTATCGCGTAAGATTTTGGTATTAATTATGCTCATTAGACTCCATTGTATTATATTTTACGATCTGCCCTCTGCATCCTCACCAAAATTCACTATGAAAAAATCCTTCTCCGCAACTCTCTCAATAATTACATTTAATCAATAGCCCTTAACTCTTTGAGGTGCAAGTAATTCCAAAATTCTAGGCCCAACAAATTTCAAGACAACTGAATCAGACATCTTCATCAACTAAATTAACTTCGGATGGTATGGCCTATCTAGATTCATCCCTTGATGTATTAACCAAATTAAATGTTAATTCCTCTATCCTGTACTTTTTCTAGAAAATTATAATAATGTGGCAGACATCTTCCAAAGGTGGTACATTGCGTGTATCACCGTCCCTCAAAATTATTTCCGTCAAAATCCAAATTCAAGTATCCCAACTGCACGCTATTCCTATATCTAATGTCCATATAATTAGGCGGAAAGTCTTTTGACCAGTTATATTTTGTTTCCTTTTAGTTTATTCAGAATTATTATGTTTGTTGCTGTATAATATTTGATTATTTCATTTTATTAAATTATTAATGTATCTTTTTTTTACGTTTATTTATTCTGGCTAATAAATTATAATAATATATATTTATATATTATATTAATATATCATTTTTATTTAAAATAAATTATTTACAATCTCTTTTATTTATGTCGTATAGTTTTGTACATCAATGTGAACATTGATTGACATTAAATGGATAATCTTTCACGGTGGATAGTTACCATTTTGATGATTTGATTTTTTAATTTGTTAGTTGGCTGTCGTCTTGTAGGTTAACTTCAGTAGTATATTGATGCTCTGCGATTCCACTATTTCCTTTGACTGTGAATCTGCTGCTATCCATAACACTGTCATTGTCCACTGAGTTGGCTGAAGTTCCATATGCTGAACCTCATTCATTTGACTGTCCATCTGTGACGAACGATGGCTCTATTGCAGCAAGCACCGAGAGGGCTCACAAAGGGCCTGGCTTGACCAGGATTCGAACCGACGCTGGTTCGATCGTTGGTAGGGCGACTTAAGCATTTGGCTATTAGTCGCGCATTTACATTCTAATAAATTAAATAAATTAATCAAAAAAACAACACATACTATTTTTATTTGATAGAAATATTTTGCAATATATAAAAAAAAGAATGAATTTACGACAATAATTAAACGTTTTAATTTGCATAACATATGATTTGTAAATACATATAATTATTTACTTTTAAAAATAAGATTTACATCGTTTCGTATAGTAATTTCATTCAAAAGATTCAAAAGAATCAATCGAAAGAATTTTGTCATATTTAGCACGTATTACTTTTATTGAAAATCATGATTATATCATTTAGCGTATCTTATCATATCTGATACTTTCTTAACAAATTTACGAACTAGTACAAAAAAAAACATATACAGAAATAAAAAGAAGAAACTAAATATATATAATTTCAAAAAAGTCAACTGATACAAATATTGACCATAGGTCTTTCTGCTCGAAACTTCTTTTATTACAATCAATGATGGACAAACACGGTGAAGGTTTTGTATTTAGATGTCCAAGGAATCGCTAATTGACAATTACTTCGGCGAAGGAGTTTTACGTAGATCTTGATTATAACGTTGCAGCTCGTTCAGTTGAAATTGATGGCCATGATGAGATCAAAATGTTATGTAGAAGATCTTTTATAATGCAGGGTATTGTGGAGATTATAGGAATGGAATTGGAATAGTTAGGAAGGGTGAAGAGTATAACACCAGACCATAAATAGATATAAATACCACCAGAATATAAATACTTAGCAGGCATCTTTGTTTTCTATCGTGCACTTGCAACCTTGCTCCAAGGTTATACAAATCATAAGAAACCTGGTTCGTTTTGTATCGAATGTTTAATTTTAAAATAATAAATATTAACAAGTTTTCAACCGAATTGTAATTTAGTTGTGTATTCTTCGAAACCAGTTTATACTGTAAAGGTTATTTTTTATGAATACATAATAACTGGATTTTTTTTATTGTGATTTTGATTACATAATATCAATAATAATATTTGATGCAAAGCATTTCAATTAAAAATGATTATATTAATTAAAGGTAATTTCGACAATTATTTTTTAATTATGATATTGCATAAATTGCATACATGTCAAAAACATCAATATTTTTTGTCGTGATTGTATTTTAAAAATATAAATTCTACTTTTATTCTATTTTCTCGCATTTATAGATATACTATCGAAGAACGTAGATCAAGATGCCAGGTGAGTTTTATATAAATAGTAATGTATATAATTATTAGTTCATATTATATAACAGAAAATCATCAACATAAAGAGTGTTCCATTTGTTGAACAAAGAATAATAATAAACATATTTTTATATCAAAACAGATTAGAAGCATATAGATTATTTCTGAAATAAAATAGCACTCAAATAGTCGTTTCGACTTTTTTTTGCAGATGAATTGTAGTTTTCTCGATATTCTCCACTTCGATGTTGACTACCATTTTGTAGTCGAAACTTTCTTTCAATAAAATGGTGTAAAGTGTCATACAAGTAATGATAATGACTTTATTAGAGTCCAATTTCCCTAGTCACTTTTTGGCAACACCAGTTGGTCACTAAGATCATTAATTACCCCAAATGTGGTACAAGTGAATTCTTGAGGGTTATTGTGGATGTTCAGCATTTAAAATTGTATTTATACATGATACATATTGAAATTTACCCCGCATTGATAATCATTTATGTATCCGTTAAAAACATTAGAATTCGGCAATTGGGGTAATAAATTAATATATTTTGGGTAATAGGTAAACCATTTCCCTGATCTCTGCCTTAGATTTTATTCTTTGGTTTGTATGAAAATGTTAACACAAAATATTGATTCCATTGATTAATTTTAAATTACAGAAAGTCCTCAAAGAGTGCGGAATCTAACTAATACAGAAGAATAGGTTTAAATTTTATGATCTATTTTTGTAAATTTATTTTTATTTTCCTGAATAAATATTTAGTTTCGGAATTTTTAAAACCGAACTATAGGGAATTCGGATTTATTTAAGTTGCACTATGTGAGGTATTGTATATAAAAATATATAATATTATAAACAATTAATAAATCATTGTGAAATATTGAAATTGTAATTAGAGATATTCATTTTATAATATAAGATTTCTCTTTACACCCATTTATGAAAGTTTTATATTTTCTATTATTTTTCATATTTAAGTTGATTTGGAATGTAAATCATCAATCTTCTACTACACAGATGATGACGTGCATAAAGTATTAGCAAACTATGGGAAGGAATTGAAGGATTTAGAAGATGATATGAAATCAGTCAAATATTGGTTTAAAATACAACCACATATTCCAGTTGCACCGAGTGATGATAAACATATACTCAATAAAATATTCACAATAAACATAATATAATTTTAGGTGATAAATTAATAGTTTTCTATCTGTTAATGAATAAGTTTTCTATTGAGAAAACTAAAACCAGATTAGAAATGAACTATTCAATTCGTAGTGTAATGCCTGAGTACTACTGTTACAATCCGTTACATCAAAAAATGCGAGAATCCCATAAATATCTGTAAGTAATAAATTGTACATTGATTCTTTTTAAAGCGGAATTTTTTAATTTTAGGAAGTTTATGGTAGTACCAAATTTAACCAAAGATTTACGGAGGATTGTTTTATTTAAATATGAAAGTGAACCTTTTTTGGATATAAGCCTTATGATTTCACGCATGATTATGGGCTTAGAACTCCTGGCAATGTACGATTTTAACATTGGAGATGAATATATTTCTGATTGTAGTAATGTGAATCTTTCACTAATTACTAAAATTAAACTCACAGATATTAAGAAATTTGTTGCGCTATTAAATGTAAGAATGAATGATTTCCTATTAATTTGTTAAATAACCAATATTTTATTCTAGAAAGTATATACAAACAGATTTTTTGTTATACATACAGTTAATTTGCCACCTGCTGCAGAAGCACTCTTCAACGTTTTTAAATTTTGCCTGAAACCTAAACTACGTGACAGGGTAAATATTAAAAATGTATTTGTATTTATTCTTAAAGACTATTGTAAATAGTTGAATAAGTAACTAGTTTTTATATATGTATAAATATGTTAGTTATATAAACTAAAATTGCAGTGTTTGCTTATTTCTAGCTGCTCCTTCATAACAGCACTGAGGCATTGAAACAATATTACAGCTTGGACATATTGCCAAAAGATTATGGTGGAAATGCCAAAAGCATTGATGAATCTGCAAGTAAATATTCTTAAATTTAACTTATAAATGATTTATTTGATTTTATATATTTATAAATAAATTTTAGGTGATTTTCAATCATTTTTCGAAAGTCATGATGAATATTTTTCGAAATGGATGAAAATTCGTGTTAATGAAAAATTGAGACCAGAGCCGCTTGTAAATGATGAAATTCTTGGTTTTCATGGAAATTTCAAAAAGCTTGATGTTGATTAAAGAAAATCGTTGCTTCTTATCCTTTCAGTTAATTTTTAGTTTATAAAGGATCAAGAAAATATAGAAAAATTTTATATATATGTAATTATTTTATCGATAGAGAATAAACACTAGTCAGTACTTAAAATATTTGTTAGAACATTAATCTTAGGTTCAAAAACGGACACACAATCAAAACTGATTTGAATATATTAGAAGGAAGTCTTAATTAGTGGGTCGAATGAAAATCATAATTCCTAATTATTAACTCTACAGAAGATTGTAACCATCTAAGTTTTTCAACATTCGCCTTGTAAATTTCTCATAATAACACTAATTATAATTAATATAACTATTTAAGAATATTTGTACTTGATATTCATAACACCCAGTAAGACTGGACATCTTTATTATTAAAATATGTTTTAAAAGCCTTTGTTTCAGAATTATCTATTAATTTTCTGGATGTATTGTTCCAAATGGATTTTCTAAATAATAAACAATTAAATACATTAGATAAGATCTATGTTTACAATTAACTGATATATTTTTTTAAGAAAACACATTTTAATTTGATAATTGCCGAAAGGATATTATTCTGGAAACGAAGACAGGCTTCATTTTGAAGTCAGAAACTCTAAGGCTGTGGTCGAAAGAGCCAAAAAAACACGGCCACAACGCGTTACTGTCTTATGTCCTCACAAGGATTGACCTGGATATTGCCGACGCTGAAATCAGCGAGCATCTGAAGTCGTCTGCGGTGTAACACAGGTTCTGAAAGAGGATCGTATCCAGGACGACGGGATAACCAACCTACAAGATGCGCATCACTACATGAGGGCTTGTTCTATATCAGTGATTCCCAAAGTGGTCTATATCGACCCTCAGGGGTCTATGACAATTTGCAAGGGGTCTACGTCAACGAAAAAAAAGTTTGGGGGTCCATGAAATGAAAATGGGGGTCCACGATAGTGCATCTCAACATACACTGATAGTACCTATTTACTTACATTATATTATCTATAATATAAAGACAATACATTATTTATAAAAGTACCTATGAAGTAAAAAAAATATTATATATGTTTATAAAATTGTGTAAGTTGCAGGATGTAGGCATTTGCTTTGTGGTCGCAATACATTTTGAACTTGTAAAAACCTGGAATATAGCGAATTATGGAATATAGCGAGGAAATTTTTAATTTCCTTTCCATCGTCATACCTAGTGGAAAGGGGGTTCTGCGCTGTTACCAATCTCCTATCGAAAAAAGAAACAGACTGGACATCATTAGCCGAGGAGATTTAAGATTGAACCTTACAAAACTGACGCCAAATGTTAATAATTTATTATTAAAGCATCAAGTTCATGCTTCTCACTAAAAACATTTACTTATTGCTTAACATTTACGTATTTCAACATTTTATTTTGAGTAGTTTTAATTTTAATTTAATTAATAAATGTATAAAACTTAACATGTGTTTTTACTTTAAGTATTTAACACTAAACTTCACTACAGTTAGTAATTTACAAAAAATCAATATCAGGTAAGTAGGGGGTCTACCCAAAACCGAAAAACATGGCAAGGGGTCTACGACACAAAAAAGTTTGGGAACCTCTGTTCTATATGAACAAGCACTTCCCGGCAGTAGAAACCATTCTACCGCCTCCTATACATTTGCCTTGTGCCAGGTGTCAACAATTCACTCACGCAACGGACACATGTCCGAACAAGACCAATTGCTCCAAATGCCCACATCCGACAAACCGATGCACTTCGCCACTTCTCCCTCGATGTATAGCATGGAACTCGGAGGATCAAAATGAATGGTCTTTCAAATGAAGAGACCAACAAAACTTATATCGGGTATACCAAACATCAAAGTAAGGCCACTTAATAAAAAGTCGTGTGATCTACCTGGTTTAATTTATAATTTCATCTTTTTTATATTTACATATATGTACGTCTTACTTTTTTTTCAGAATGCATTTTTTTTGTATGATTTATTGTGACAATGTATGTTTAGGTCGATAGCTCTTTGGTTGCATTGTAACTAATGAAAATTATTATTATTATTTGATAATTGATATTTTTTTTGCTTTGTTATAAAGTAGAAACACAGAGGTTTTGTATGATACAAAACATTAATCTCTGTGTTTACTAATAGCATATAAAAATCTTTATTCTGGTTTTACAGCAAAAAAAATGGCTTCAACTTTAAAATGTCAGTTATTTTTGGGACACTCTTTACAAACAAACTTATTTAACATGTGATAAATTATGCTAATCACAATGATTAATGTGTTTTTTTCTAACAAACAGATTAATTTATACATCTCAAGTTTTCGATGAAGTGCAGCGGATCACAAATTTAACTATTAATTTAATTAAGTGGATCATATCTAAAGGATTGGTATTGGTACCAACAAGTTACTAACAGTAACTGTTATATTTCTAAGAGTTCCTAATGAAGTAAACCAACTGTCCTTCTATAATGAGTCCAAAGATTCCTTACAATAGTGAATATCAGTTTTTCCATTATTTAAGTGCGTGGCTGAACAATAGGTCTCAAGTAGTTAATTTATGACAATATAATCAAACAAAATTCGGAATAAATTTGAAAGGAGATCTGAGTATTATTATTGTCAAAAAACGATGAAATATTTCTATATACTCAACAATTTAATAATACATAAAATTTCAACGTACTTGAAAGGTAATAATCTATATAATATTATGTTATTAATATTTTGTATTATCATTACATTTATTTTCTTTATTTTTTTATCTTCTATTTCTTATTCACTACCTGCCAATTTTTGGCAAATTTAACTAAAAATTAATGCAATAATAATAACAACCCAAATAAAAATTAATTTTGACACTATGAAACTTAAATAAAAATATTCACTCTAATGGACAAGAAAATGTGTCTCTTTAGTCTGTGGGGGGTGTGACTGTTGTATAGCAGTGACGCGAGACTGTTGGGATAGTTTTCCAATCTAGTAACGAGCATTTTCTATAGTAAGGTTTTACAAAAGTTTGAATAAGAATAGCAGTAATTTATTGAATATATGTTAATACATTATTTTATATTATATTATAAAATATATATAATTTTCATAGAAATATTGAAATTATGTTGTATCTATTGGTATATTTTATTATATCTAACTAAAATAATGATGTCTTCACTGAACGATGAGAATGTACGCAGTATGGAAAATCTTAATTAATTTTATTATGAAAGTTCAAAAACATTAAAATCGTTGTTGTTCATACTTAAATAAAAAATAGATTAAATGAAATTTACAAAGTTATAATTGATGTTGTTGAAAAAATTGGACACATGTTAAAAAATAATAAAAATTTGTTGTGATGTCTGGAGTTGGAAAATATATAAATTCCTGTTATTTTATATTTCTTCTCATTTATCGATACGTTCACGTAAGTTGTAGATCAAGATGCCTGGTGAGTTTGAAATGAATACTTATATAATTAATAAAATATTGTACATGATATAATATAGCTTCTATATTGGAAACATACATTGCCGGTTTCCACTTTGATTTAAATGTACTAATATTGGGTCAAGTAAAAAGTTTGGAGCGTTTTTCTAGTTGTGTGTTAGAGCGTTCCAAAATGGAGGTAAAAAAGAGAAATATATTCTTCAGTACCACTTCAGTACCACAAAGAGGAAAAGCGGAACAGGCGGCCAAAAAAATTGTGTTGTTGGACGTAATACAGTATCGAATGCAACAGCAACATGTTGGTTCCAACGCTTCCGTTCTGGTAATATGATTGTGGAAGATGAGACACGTTCTTATAGGTCAATCATGGAAATCGACGAGTCCGACATGCGAGCACTTATTCCATTGCCCAGGAACTGAAGATTAGCCAGAAAACCATTTGAAAAAGATTGGTCTCAAGAAGATGCTCAATGTATGGGACAAAACGCTCAAAACTTTTTACTTCATCCAATATTATACTAAAAATATTTATGAAAATAGCCCAATGCGAAACTCGTTAAGCAAGTCATATTTGTTACAATTTGTTTTGCTCGTTAAGCGAATTGTTTTTTACCACTATAATTTATTTCTATATTTTCTGTTTAAGTTGATTTGGAATGTAAATCAACCCACTACCATTACACAGAGCATGAAGTGCATAAAGTATTAGCAACTTATGGGAAGAAATTGAAAAACTTGGAAGATGATATGAAATTAATCAAGGATTGGTTTAATATGCAACCACATATTTCAGTCGCACCTAGTAATTATAAGAAAATATAGTTATTAAAATATTATAATTAAATAAAATATCAATTTTAGGTGATAAACTAATAATTTTCTATTTATTAATGAATAAGTTTTCTATCGAGAAAACAAAAACCAGATTAGAAATGAACTATTCAATTCGCAACGTAATGCCTGAGTACTACTTTTACAATCCGTTACATCCAAAAATGAGAGAAACCCATAAATATATGTTAGTATTAAGTTGTTGATTAATTTTTTAATAAGCATTTATTAATTTTAGGAAGCTTATGATTGTACCAAATTTAACCAAAGATTTCAGGAGGATTACTATATTGAAATATGAAAGTGAACCTTTCATCGATATAAACCTTATGATTTCACGCACAATTATGGCGTATGAACTCCTGGCAATATACGATTTTAACATTGGAGATGAATATATTTGTGATTGTAGTAATATGAATCTTTCATTCATTACTAAAATTAAACCCACAGATATTAAGAAATTTGTTGCCCTATTGAATGTAAGAATAAATAGTTTCTTATTAATTTATTGAATAACCAATGTTTTATTCTAGAAAGTATATACGAACAGATTTTCTGTTATACATATAGTAAATTTGCCAACTGCTGCAGAAGCACTCCTCAAAATGTTTAAACTTTGCTTGAAACCTAAACTACGTGAAAGGGTAACGTAATATTAAAAAATATGTAGATTTATTGTAAATAATTGAATAATTAACGAGTTTGCAAATTTATTTGCCTAAAATTACACTTGTAATTTAAATTTTCAATTTATTTTTTTGTATTTTTAGCTCCTTCAACATAACAACATTCAGGCATTACAACAATATTACAGCTTGGATATATTGCCAAAAGATTATGGAGGAAATGCCAAAAGCATAGATGAAGCTGCAAGTAAATATTATTTAATTTAACTTTTACTTATCTATGTGTTAATATTAGTTTAATATATTCATATATTAATTTTAGGTGATTACCAATCATTCTTCGAGGATCACGATGAATATTTTTCGAAATGGTTAAAAATTCGTGTAAATGAAAAGTTGAGATCAGAGCCACTTGTTAATGATGAAATTCTTGGTTTTCATGGAAATTTTAAAAAGCTTGATGTTGATTAACAAAAAAAAATGCGGTTTTTTTATTTACTACATATTTTATTATTAACTTTTACATGTTTTTATTTTTTAAAGAGGTGATATAATTGTTGATATAAACTTCTGACCCTTTCGTTGCTTATGGGCTTCTACTTTTTGGTGTTGACGAAATTCGAACCTGACAACTTTCGTATCATATTTTTATGATAGAAACGACTTTCACTACTGGTCTGTTCTCATATTGTATATTACAAAAAAATATGGTATATAAAATGTTAGTATTCCCTTTTTTTTTTAAATAACATACTTTTGAAAAAAAAAAAGAATCATATTTTTATTCCATTCTTTCCTAAGTGGGAAAAACTATGTTAAATATGATTTTCATATTCATTGATATAAATAATAACTTTTGTTGACTTATTTATTTACATTTTTTTTTTCTAATTATTGTATTTTTGCCCAATTTTGAAATATTTATTTTAGGGCGACTATGAAAAAAAATATTTTTCTTTTTCTTTTTTTTCTTAATCGTGAATCCGATTAAACGGAATATTGTCCCAAAAACAGCAGAGTAAATTCGTGTTATTTTTTTAATTTTGTTTCCGTTGTTTAATATTTGTTAAGCGGAATCAATTGTATATCATTATATATTATTTGTCGGATATACTTTATATACTATTGTGTAACAAAGGACAAAATTGTATCAATTTTAATAAGAACAATAACTAAACTAACAAAAACAAAGATAATTTACACACGTGTATAGAAAATCAACATTTTAGAAGTTATCCCTCCGCTCATCACATATATCAAAATATAATTATGTATTTACTATGTAATTAATTGTAATTTAAATATCTGTTCTCTTGAATCATCTATAATTGAAATTGTCAATAAAATGATCCAAAATTAGGCAACAAATGATTTTACCAAATTTTAATATTAAACTGTATTATTTTATAGGTAGTATATTCTAATTAAGCGATTTATTTTTAATGTCGTATAATTTTATTCACAATCTGTTCATCAATGTGAACATTGAGAAAATTTTCCGGTGCATAGTTACCATTATGATGATTTTGATTTTTTTTAATTTGTTGGTTGGCTGTCTTGTATGTTAACTTCACTAGTTTATTTAATTATTTCCTTTGACTGTAAATCTGCTGCTATCCTTAACCCTGTCATTGTCCATCGACTTGGCTGAAGGTCCATATGCTGAACATCATTCATTTGATAGTCTATCTGTGATGAACGATGACCCTATTGCTGCAAGCATCGAAAGCCGGGGCCTACCTTGACCAGGATTCGAACCGGCGCCCACGAAATCGTGGTTATGGCGACTTAACCATTCGGCTATTAGCCGTCCTTTTTAAGCAATTATAAAGATATAATTATATATTTTGATACCTACTCTAGAATAGACTAACGACTATTAATCATAAATTAATAAATATTTGCATCTACTTTATTATAAAAGTTATAGCATAGGTTATTCTTATATACATAAATAATCTGATTTTTATCTTTATATCAAGTATCTTTTTGTGCTTTTTTAAATCCTCGATTTCAAACAGTGTGGAATATTGACGGAATTGATTACTCGGACTTTGTGAGGTTTTGATGAATTTGTAATTTATAAACTTTATGATCACGTTATATTTGTGTTATAAACGATAGTTATTATTTAAACTGGTTTTGAAATTTATTAAATGATATGAACTAGTTTGTGACGTCTACTAATGAAAAATATATAAGTTGTGGTTTTATATAGTTTAATTCAGTACATACATACATATATTATAAACCAACATGTCGGGTGAGTTTCAATGAAATGATTTATATATAATTGAAAGTAGAAAGACCTATGGTAAAAAGTCCTTTGCAGCAGTTTTTCTTGTTTTATAATTATTATTGTGAATAAAAATGTTAATTTGTATTTATTTACTGTTGCAATAAAGATTATTATTATATAATTCATATAAGGAAGTATTGCCTAATTTAGACCACTTACATATTTTTTTGGCAAACAAAATATTAATCATTATTTAAAAATGTAATAGAGAATTTTGAATTATTCAATTTATTATAATATTTTTTTGTTAAATAAGTGTACTTTACATAAAAAAGAAGATATATTTTAGTACTTTAGGTTAGTCTGACGACTATTAATCTTATAGTTAGTGGTATCTGGAAGACAAAAACTGCAAGCCCACTACATCTATCCTATAAGTTATTGCATCAATCAAATTAATTAAGTCTAGGCAACCCATGTTGGTTACCATGCGATTACCGCACAGATGAAATTGCAATAAATATCCAATATAGACAATTATTTCTTGCAGTTAAATTATATTAGATTTTAATACAATTTTATAAAGCAAAAATAAGTTTATGTGTAAGTTTTTCCAATTCTAATTAATATTAACATGCGTATTGATTCTATCAAAATTTTACGCAATTCAGATAAAATTTAATTGAAACCAGTTTTTTTACATACACGATATTGAGTAAAAAATGATTAAATGTTTTTTAATTGTAAGAGCTACCTATTCAACATAATATAATATGATGCAATAATTTCTCTGTTTTTAAGTTGACTTGCAAAGTAAAACATCTTTGTGCCATTACACAGAGGAAAATGTGCATAAAATATTGGAAATCCATGGAAAGAAATTGAAGGACTTGGAAATCGATTTGGAAACAATCAAGCAGTGGTTTAAAATGCAACCACACATTCCAGAAACACCTAGTAATAATTAAAATATATTAATTAAAATACGCTTACAATTAAACTAATATAATTTTAGGTGATAGATTAATAGTTTCATATTTGATTATGAATAAGTTTTCCATTGAGAAAACTAAATCCAGATTGGAAATGAACTATTCCATTCGAAATGTTATGCCTGAGTTTTATTGTCCATTACATCCCAAAATACTAGAATCATATAGATATTGGTAATACGTAATAATTATTCAATCCAATTTGCTAATTCAAATAAATTATTTGTTTTAGTAAGCTCATTGCTATGCCGAAACTAACGAAAGATTTACGAAGGCTTTGTATCATAAAATACGAAGATGAGCCTAGTTTCGATGTGACCATTATATTTTCACGCGTAATCATGTTTTTTGAACTCCTCGCCATGTACGATATAAACAATGGGGATGAATATATTTCTGACTGTAGAAATGTAAACCTTTCAATAATTACTAAAACTAAACCCACAGATTTCAAAAAAATGGTTGCTCTTTTCGACGTAAGAATTTGTTTGTATGTTATTGGTCTATATTATAAAAATATGTTATTTTAGAAAGTGTATGCAAACAGATTTTCAGTTATACATACTGTTAATTTGTCATCTGTCGGAGTATCAGTATTCAATATGATTAAATCTCTTATGAAACCTAAACTACGTGAAAGGGTAACTTTATATTATATTTATGATTTTGTTATTTACACATATGTCACTAAAAAATAATTTTCGAGAAAAATAATATAATAATATTGTTTCTTCTTAAACATACATATTTGTAATAAAAATATTATTTTTGAGTTACTGTTTATAAATCTGATAATATTTTTCAATATTAGATTGTGAAACTAAAGTTTAAATTAATACTTTGCCACTTTTATAGACATTTTAAAATATATTTATATTTTTTCTGATAAATTGTTCACTTTTAGATGCTCATGCATAAAGATATTGAATCTTTAAAACAATATTATAGCTTGGATATCTTACCAAAAGATTATGGTGGATCTTGTAAGAGCTTAGACGAGACTGCAGGTAAATATTTTGGTTTTATCTACATGTTTGATTATATTTTAAATGTATGTATTAAATTTTAGATGAGCATAATACATTTCTGAAAGGTCATGATGAATTTATCGAAATGGATAAAAATTCGTGTTGATGAAAAATTGAGACCAAAACCGTTGATCAATGACGATATTCTTGGTTATTATGGGAATTTTAAAAAACTGGATGTTGATTAATATTTTTGTAAATATACATCAATATAGTGCGTATATAGTGCGGATTATGAATAGTTTGGTTGGATGAAAATTTTAAAACAAATTAAATTGTAATTGAAAAAAAAAATTATAAAAAAAATCTTAATTTATTTTTATACATTTTTCCGCTATGCAGTGAAATCTCGATTTGTGCTGATTATTTTTAGTGGGTTTCAAAGTCTATGATTAGTTAGGTTTCAAACAGTGCGAGATATTCGTAACATTCATTACAATTAAGCAATATGCACTTTTTGTTTAGAAATAATTTATGAACAAATAAACGTTTACAAAGTTCTCGTATAGACAAATCTAATATTTTTTAGTATTTATTGCCAATCAAACAAATATGTATACAAAAAGGTATTGATTGGTCCAAGTTTTCTTAAGAGTATTTGCAATAATTTTACAGATTTTCATTCATTTCTTTTCATGATCAAATTTTCTGAATTGATTTATTTTTTATACATTTTTTATCTATGCAGTGAAATACAATGGAACCCCGCTTAACGAGTTTAATCCGTTCCAAATTTTCCGGATTTTTACTTGTATAGTGAAATATTAAAAAAAATACACAAGTTTTAAAAATGATGTAACAGACGCGCAATCCGGGACTTCTTTTCTCATCGTTAAGCGACATTCCACTGTAATTAAAAAAAATATATATATATAAATTCATAGAAATATTGATATAAATGACTGTATTTTAGAAAAGTATTTTTAATTGATGGAATGAAATGATTTGGGTCGACTGCGTTTTAGTTTATCGAAAATCGGCGTTGAAATTACAATGAAAACATGGAATTTTTTTAAATAAAACCTCATAAGAGCTTTTTAATCTCAATACATATGAACGAGCATTTATTATTAATTGGTATTAATTATAATTAAGCAACATTTGAGTTTTTTGTTTACAAACAATTTATGAAAATGTAAACAAAAATATAAATTCATGGAAGTATTGACATAAATGACTATTTTTTTTGAAGGATTCTAAATTTCTGGAATTAAATGATTTGGGTCGACTGGGTTTTAGTTGATCAAAAATCGGCGTAGTATTTCAACAATGAAAACATGTATTGTTTTAAATAAAACCTTATAAAACCCTTTTTAATCTCCATACACGTGATCGAGCATTTATTTTATAATGTTTGGAATTATTCAGATGATTCTTACAAATTCTCTTTATTTACAAACATTTTTATTTTTGAAGTATGAAACATTCATAAAAAAACATTACGTTTAGTTTTGAGTGTCAAAATTGATATATTTATAATTTATTTTAAACAAATAATATTCTACAAACTTCAACTTTTAGATTTGTCTATTTTTGTAGCATTTATTGTATATATAAATCAAACAAATTTGTATACAAAAAGGTATTGATTAGCCCAACTCTTTTAGGTTGGTTGCAATAATTTTATAGATTTTCATTAAATAAATATTTTCTTTTTCAATGATCAAATTATAATTTAAATGTATTCAAAATGTGAAATCAGTGGTAAAATTATATTGAAAGTAAACGTGAAAATTATTACTCCACAATATATTTCAAATACGTTCTGAATCGATTGAGATATGCGAAAGGTTTTGGGGTTTATTACAAAATTCCATTCTCAGATATTTTATCGCCTCAATAACAGTGAAGAAAGCAAAAAAAAAAGAATAAAAGCAGAAAAGAGTAGAAAAGAGACTGTGCGGAAAATATTGTGGACAAAACGCGCACGGTGAAATTTATTTGTCCCTGCGGGATCATCGAAATTGGGTTTAAGGATAAATTAATAACTGATTCGATTAGGGCGGATCGCGTTTGTCAATTTGTATGATGAAAGAGACAAAAAGACGAAAAAAAACTTACGAAAGGAGTCACTGTCCCATTTAATAATTTAATAGACAATAAATTTGCGTGAGGCAGCGAAATTAAAGTGTCCTCCAGAAGTGTAAAATTTGCGCGCATCCTCCATCCGTCCACCCGAAGTCCTGGCACTGCAATTGCTTTCCCACCAGTGCTACGCAGGACGCGCCGCTGCGAGGATCAAACCGTGATCCGGACCAGGACGACGAGGAACGTGAAACGTGTATCGGAAAATTTTCTGTTCGCTGCAAAAAGAAAACATAAGTGATTTTCAAATACGAATCCCTACATAGTCCATGGATTTATAAATTGTTACTCAAGGTAAGATAAATGTAATTTACATTAATAATTTAAATATTATCATTTATTAACAATTAAAATAAATAAATTTAACAACAAAAACTAACTATAAATAAATTAATAAAATAATTCGACAGAGTAAATTAATAATGTACAAATGTAATGTTTATAAAATTGATCACTATTTTATTAAACACAAATAAATTTCATTGTCAGGTTTGTAAAATAAATCTATTTATGAGAAGTTATAATATTTTAATACTATTATCATAAATCCAAATAAATTATTTCATACAAATTTATCAGGTGGAATTATTTCGCTTACTTGATAATTTACATATTATTATGGCAAATACATAAATTTTGTTATCAATTTTCCTAAATTTATCTAAAACTGAAAAAATGTATGTATAATCTAAAATTATCCTCATTACATTTAAGTTAATTGTATTAAAATAGAAAAAAAAAATCAACAGTATTCTTTTTCTCTATACTTTACATATAAATTGTTAATAATTCAATAAAATGTTCACGTTTCAACTTAACACAAAAGCATTAAAACCGTCCAATTATCCTTCAATATCTGAGTTATTAACTATTTGGAACTTTAATTAAAATTAAATAATACATAGTTGACCCTACAATTCCTCCCTATCAATTTGGAGTCCGATGGTAAATCAATTGACCTTGCCTAAGCAATTCCCATATTCAATTTATAGACACACCACATTTCAACGTAGATTTCATTGGATTCACTTGATTCACAACAATTTTTTATGTAATCTAACACAGTTCTATTCCATTTTATTTTTGGAAGGTAAGCACGGATTGAACATTTTATAGAATCTTCCACATCTTCCAGCATGATAAAAGAAGGAGCAGTTTTTATACCAATAAATAATAATATATTGATTAATACTTACATTTAACTTACATCTGATAATTAAACAAACCTAGATGAAAATAACATCAGTTGTTCAGACATTGTTGACAAATATGTGAAATACAGTGGAACCTCGCTTAACAAGATTAATACGTTCCAAAATACTGGTATAGTGAAACATTAAAAAATACACATAATATGTGTACACAAGTTTTAAAAATGATGTAAAAGGCTGATGTATAAGTTTATTTTATAATCGATTTTTAAAATTAAATACACAACATTTTTTTACTAATAATTAATACGTTAAAATATTTTTCTTAATATTCAGATCCTGGATTAGTGTGGTTTCGAATAGTTCGGGATATTGGTAGAATCAATTATTCGCACTATGCATATATTTATTTATTAATTAATTATAAATCAGTGGAGTATAAACAATTACAGTTCATTAATTGTTTATAATAGAATTAGTTTATAGCAATAACATAAACTGGATTTATTTTAAATGAAGAGTTTCTAGTCAGCCGAGTGGATAAAATAGAGTATGTACATATTTGCCTATAAAATTATTTGTGAAATAAATATTTAATTTAAAAATAATACGAATTTATAATTGAATGATGAACAACATAAGTAAATATTTATGAAACGTTGAAATGTTCCTTTAAATCAGGGTTTCTAAACTTTTCCTGCAACGGAACACTTTGTTAATCCACAAATTTTCCCGAAACACCTTGTTTATTTTGTGGATTAGATAATAAAACATATATAATTAAATAAATGAAATTATTATTATTATTTTTACTTAAAAAAATCTCATTTTCAGAATGTTCACATACATAAAAATATTAAAAAAAATCAACAATGTATATTCTTTTAATAAACCACATATAACATGCCACCAATAAAGATGATCTAAGATAAACAAATATTCACGATCAATGATGTAATAAAAAAAGGGAGTACATAAACGTAATGAGACTATATAGAAGTAAAGTGGTTACGAAAGTGTTTTACGAACCTATTTTTTAATTTATTTTATGTACACTTCGAAAGTTCATATTTGTTAGAAAACTTTTAGATGAGATCGATACCAGTATAATAATGTTGTAAAAGTGAATGATTTTCCAAAGCTACTTCAACATAATTAATTAAAATTGAAAGCACTTAAGCAGAAACTTTTATTTATAGTAAAAAACGCTGTCACCAATAACTAACTCAAGTAAATTTAAAATATTTTAACAAATCTGATTGATTACATTTTTTTATAAAACATTTAAGTCTTCAAGTTCATTCTATTACGTTAAACAGTAATTTATGTTTTCTTATAAAAAAAAATATATAAGTAAGTGAAAGTATAGTAAATAAATAAAAATGTCTTGCAATTGAGGTGGTTGTATTACTGCGCGCTTTTGTCGGCGTTCTTTTTCCTGCGCGTTGTTGTTCGGTCGTCAAGAAAAACGTATAGGATCTTAGATCTATTATTTTTTATAGTCTTTAATGTAAAAGAACTGAGAAGAATCAGGTCAAATTGAAAACTTTTGGGAAAGTACATACGTTTTGAAATAAAAATTCTTTGAATATATTTAATCTATTACGGTAATTATTGACGGTCGCTCAACATCCGATTAACGATGAATTAAATATTTCCATTAAACTATTATACATGATTTTCCACTTGGTAATTACAGCCGATTAGAGTCTGATTTTCAAGCTTATAATTCATGGCTTCATATATAGTGTAGACTATTATAAATATATATATATATTGAAGATTAACGGTAAATAATATTTTAAATATTCATTAAATTTCAATAAAATTAGACATATAATGACAAAACTTTATTATCGACGTTTCACTTTATTAGGAGTAAAAAATAATAATTTGTTCTGAAGTTATAGTAAAAAATGTTCTTGAATTATATGTTGT